CATTAAAACAATAGTCTTCTTATTTTTAACTTGACACCTTCTTATTGGGAGGTGGAACCATCCTGTCAATAGTTGTAATATCTATTGTGTCAATACAAGTTGAACATCTCTTATCCAAAATACTTGGAACCAAAAATGTTTCAGATTCTAGATTTTTGTTTTTAATTTGCATCGTGGAGGATAGGATCCAAGTCTGAGTATAAAATTAATTTTTTTTCATATATACCTTATGTTCAAAAATGGAAGTAATTTTTAAATTTCTTTAGGTTTTTACCAGAGGGCATGTGCACTTGCTGGAGAGAGAGATGGAGAGAAAGAAAGAGAGAAATGACCTCCCTAGGAGGATGTGAATTTCCATACCACAATCCTTTCTCCTTCATTTTCCTCCTGTGATTTTGGGCACACATGCACATGTGCCCAGTGTGATTTTCAAGCTGCTGAGTCCAGGATTCAAACCACAATCTACCATATAGGAGTCTAGCACTTTAATCACCTCGCCACCTGCTGGCCCTCACTTCAAGGTAATTTTACACAATACTTTCATATGGCAGCATTTTGACTATGACCTGTCATGTGGGGTCAGGAATAGAATTTTCTACTCGTGGTATCGTGTCAGTGCTCAAAAAGTTTTGGATTTTGGATTATTTCAGACTTTGGATTTTTAGGTTACAGGGGTTCAATCTGTATTAGGCCAAGGCATTCATTCTTTAGTTCTTTCTGTTAAATCAAAAAATCAATAGGGCCCTTCAACAATGATACTTTTATTTTAAAACATCAGGGGCAGGACTTGCCTGACAAGTTCCCATCAGAACACAGACAGGAAGGTGTCGTTTTCAATCTTCAGTCCATTGCTCACTGACTGGTTAAACTGCCCAAGGACGTGGCTCGGCTGCTACACTGAATGTACGCCTAGGACTGCTTGCAGTGTGGATCTTGGACTAGTCTAGGCAGGCCCCTGGCAGTTCGGACTGACCACATGTAAGCAGTGCTTTGTGCACATTCCTTCCTTCTTATGAGGGAATTCTGCTACTTTCTATAACAGCAGGATCAGCTGGCTCTCATCTAAGCCACCAGGGCTTTACTGAGTCCAGCGATGATTCTCCCCAAACCCCACCAAGTAATTCCAAGAAGCCATCATGAAAAAGTGGGGAGAGGATGGAGGGATTTGAGAGGTGATGCTGTGTGGATGGAAGTTGGATCAAGAAAACCTGAGCTAACCCCTGAAGGAAAATGAGCAAGTGCCCCTCCTTTCCATCCATCTCCTCCTCATGGCCGCTAAAGCTAAAGGCCACAGGGCATCCTCAGCTCCTCTTGATTTGTGTCGAATGTGGAAGGAAGAGACAGAGGAGTTGGTCTGTGTCATAGATTCTATAGTTTAGAAAAACTGACTTTGTTTAATTTTATCTTTTTTTAAAAAAGAATTATTTTATTTAACTTTATTTATTTATTTATCTATTTAAATTTGACCAGAGAGGGACAGAGCATGTGAGCAAGAGAGAGAGAGAAAGCAAGAAAGCAAGCTGCCAGGTCCAGGACTCAAACTGTGGTTGGCCATGTGGGAGTCTGGTGCTCTTAACCACAATGCCACCTGTCAACCCTTAATTTTATCTTGTATTGTCCAGGGACAGATCTTCATTACAAAAGTTTCATCAGAATTGTGCAGTTCTCATTTTTCTTTTCTTTTCTTTTTTTTTTTTAGTTTTTGCTATAGGATACATGCACTCCTTGGATAGAGACAGAGAGACAGAGTGAGAAATCAATCCCCAAGGAGATGGTCCTGCCACAATCCCTTCCTCTCCATTCTTCTCTCAGGATTTTGGGCACATGTGCACAAGCACCCAGTGGAGAGTGTGGGCCATTTTATTCAGACAAAATCAATGATTTTAGGAAAATTTCCATTATTTGGACCAGCGGTTAGTGTAATGACTATGTTGCTGGACTTCCATGTAGTCAATCACAGTTGAAGTCCCAGACCCAGTGGCTTAAACTCACACTGGGTGAGTGTGCCTGCATGCCCAAGATCCCAAAAGGAGAATGGAGAAGAAGGGATTGTGGTGTGGCCATCAGTGTGTTCTTCAAGCTACCAGGTCCAGTACTCAAACTCAGTCTGCTATGTGGGATCCATCCACGTCAACCACCATGCCACCATCTGGCCATGCACTCAGATTCACACCTACTCAGATTCGGTTCCCCTGTCTTGCAAAGCTCACCACAGGGTTACCTGAGCACTATACTTGCTTCATTAAGAGAAAAATGATTTTACCAAGAATGTAATCTATAAGAACCTACTAAAGGTCTTTGGGGTGGAGAGGGAGGTGAGGTGAGAGGGTGAGAGACATGGGATTTTATTTTTTAATTCCCCATTAATTAGAACAAACAGTAATAATTATGATGGTTTTGTTACAGTCTTCCTCCATGACTTAAAGATAACCCACTTGGAGAAGATAATGAAGAAAGACATATTTTTCGGTACTTGTTTATAGCTCATTTTATTTTTCCAGCAAGTTTAACTCAAGAAGCTGTTTCTTCTGTAGAGCATGATCCTCTCCTGAGAGCCAAAATAGCAAGCTAGAAGCAGAGCTGGCTGCTCCATTTTGACTTAGGCAGCCCAGATGGTTACTAGCCGGTGGGGTCCCTGCCTGGCATCTGGTTTCTGCTGCCTCTCCCCTCCACTGGGTTAGGCAGGTGGTTGGTATCATTGGCCCACTCTTATCTGCAGATATGTTTCAAGACCCTCAGTGGGACCAGCAGTTGGCATAATGGCTATGTCGCTGGACTCTCATGTAGTAGACCGTAGTTCGAGTCCCAGACCCAGTGGCTTAAACTCACACCAGGCGCATGTGCGTGCGTGTCCAAGATCCCAAGAAGAGAATGGAGGAGAAGGGATTGCGGCGTGGCCATGCTCTCTGGGGGTTGATTTCTTGCTTTCTGTCTCTCTGTCTTTTGAGCGCATGCACCCTATAGCAAAAACCTCTCAAAAAAACAAAAAAGGACCCTCAGTGAATGCCTGAAACCACGGATGGTACTGAACCCTACAGATACTCTGTTTTTTGGATCTGATAACCTAGATAACTACTAAGAGACTAAAAGGAAGGAGTGTCTACAGCATGGATACCCTGAACCAAAGGGTGATTCACATCCTCTGGGCAGGGCAGTGTGAGATACATACAACTCAGAATGGTGCGCAATTTTGAACTTATGAATTGATACTTTCTGGGACTTTCCATTTCATATTTTCAGACTCTGATTGACTATAGGTATCTGAAACTGTGGAAAATAAAACCTTGGATGGGGGGACCAGGACTGAGGTAGGAACACTGGCTTTCCAATACACAATCAGTCAGCAAGGGGCGTGGCAGCTCCTATGTCCTCCCCCCCCCCATAGTGGAAAGTGCTTACACTGCAGTTTGTTTCTTACTTAATAAGCATCTTTTTAAAGAGAGATTTTTGCTATAGGGCTCATGCACTTGCCAGAGAGACAGAGACAGAGAGCCCCAAAGCTAGAAATCCCCCCCCCCCAGTAAGAATGGCCACGCCACAATCCCTTCTCCTCTGTTCTCCTCTTGGAATCCTGGACATGCACACACGTGCACCCTGCACCCTGCGTGAGTTTTAAGCTGCTGGGTCCAGGACTTGAAACAACGGTTGACTACATGGGAGTCCGGTGACTTAACCATTTACGCCACCTGCTGGTCCCAATTAGCAAGTATTTATTGAACCACTACCAAGAGAGCTCAGTGACTAAGGCATGAGTTTTAGAGGCTGACTTCTAGTGCTCAGTGCCACCTGTCACTTCTGGGCTCTGTAGTCTGGGCAAGTTATCAACTCCTCTTAGCCTCAGTTTCCTCTTCTATAAAGGAGGACCAGTACTGGTATCTACCTAGTAGAGGTTTGTAAGGGTAGGATGAGATAATGTTGTCAGAATGTTTGTCAAGTCCGCCCCAGCGAGAACTCTATTCTATCAGGCAAACTGGATTTGAAAGGCTGTGAGTAGAAAGCAAGTTAATTTGCTCCATTACTGCCCTTCCTAATCCCATCAGGCAGGCCTCATAATGTTCCCTGTCACTCTTGGGTAATACGTCCTCTGATCAACGCTGGTGCCCAAAAGAGTCTCCTTCTAGAAATTCAAATGTCTAGTCTGCTGTAATCAAATCTTGGAGCTCTATTTAATTTAGAACTTTTCTAAACCCAGCCTGCCCCAGGCTTGGAAGTCCTAGTGGGAGAAGGGAGAGTAGCCAGCTTCCTTCACCCTCCTCAGATGATTTCCTGCCCACGTGTGAGCTCAGGTTTCAGCTTCTCCAAGGTCAAGGGGAAGGGATTTCAGAAAAAAGCACAGTCTGAGAGCAGGTACAGGGGGATTGGCACTGGGGAACTGATGCTCGGCATGGGCCTGTGTCAGATGCCAGCACTTTAGGCCCCTCCCCTAGACATGGGGACTGTCAGCCTCTCAGTGTTTCCTTTCACCCTGGGCTGGGGTTGAGAGAAAGCACTTCCCTTTCCTGTCTTTCCTGCT